TATATATTGATAAGGAATGTAAAAAAGCCTCAAAACCTTCAAAGAAGAGTCATGAAGCAGGAGAGGGCTTCTTCACCAGTACACAAAACTCCAGGGAAAGTGACATGATATCTTACATATCTGCCAAGAAAACTCCCGCACTAACACAACCTGCATGGGAGCACACGCCCGGATGAGGCAAGGTCTACAGTGTCTCCAACAGGCACTCTTCTCCACAGTGAGCAGGAGCCTGCACACCAGAAAAGCCAAAGCAGCCTGCTTAGCAGGAGAAGACATTGCAGTAGAGCAGACTGAGTGGCGGGAAGCACTGTCTCATCAGGAATATGAAGACAGACAAGAAATCCATGGGCAATGGACCACCTGACTAGAGGGAGTTCTCCGGCTAGAGCAGGGTGTCATGTGAGAAGGGACCAATAATGAGCACAACAAAGAATATCTGGTGCCACAGGCAAGCTGGACACACAGACAATGTAGCCACCAGGAACCCTTGTGGTGTATGAGCATATCCACACTGCATGGCCCAGGTCTAGGGTTCTCAGTGGCACTGCTTACTGTCAGGACCCTCTGTACACTATGTGCAATAGGGACACTTGAGACACTGCTGTGGGACGAACTCTGCCTACCTAGACTGTCATGTGAGCAAGAGTAAACAGTGAGAACTGGGGAGGCCTGGAAGCAGCAGCACAGCCACCATCATGAAGTGTAGTTGGCACGTGTCAAATGGTGGTGTACACCTTTAGTTCCAGCTCTCAGGAGGCACAGGTAGGTAGACGTCTGGGAGTTCAAGATCAACCAGGGTTGCACAAAGAGAGTCTGTTCCAAAAAAAATCCCAAAAACCAAATAAAGAAGTCAATGGAAGCACATAGGTTAGCTAAAGCACCCCCAGTGCAGTAAAACTCTCAGGACAGGATCACATGGGGTGAAGGCAATCTTTAATAAGGTACCAAGAAACTGGGTCACAGCAGACCATAATGACACACATCGTAATTCCAGCACTCAGAGGTAGAGGCAGGCAGGTCTCCTTCAACTGAAGGTCAGCCTAGTCTACAGAGTGAATTCCAGGACAGCCAGGATTACACACAGAAACCCTGTCTCAAAAGAAAGGGGGGGGGTTGGAGAGATGGCTCAGAGGTTAAGAGCACTGGCTGCACTTCCCGAGGTCCTGAGTTCAATTCCCAGCAACCATATGGTAGCTTACAACCATCTGTAATAAGATTTGGTGCCCTCTTTTGGCAGGGAGGGATACATACAGGCAGAACACTGTATGCAATAAATAAATAATCTTTTAAAAAGAAAAGAAAAAAAATCGGGGTCAGATGTGGAGTCCGAAGGTCAAATCAACACTTCAAACCATTTTCAAGAATCAACTCCAGACTGAAGCCATCTGCGGCACTGGGGATGACTCACTTGTTTAGCATCTGTAAGGCCCTGAATTTAACTCACAGCACAAATGAAAACAACAAATCCTGGTTTTGGAAAACTCAGTAAAAACTAAAAGAAAGTCTCAAAATCAACTGTGACACATATAGGAGATCATATTGGTCTACTGTCAGAGGCCTAACCTAACCTGCACAAAGACCCAACCTTCTCAGCTTGACTGAACCCTGGAAAGGACTGGTTGATTGTGGTGGGTATACACATTAGCCAACAATTTGTTGTTGTTTATTAATTTTATTTTTATGTCTATGGGTATTTTGTTTAAATATGCCTGTGCACCATCTGTGTGCAGTGCCTGCAGAGCCCAGAAGACAGCTTTGTATCCTCTGGAACTGGAGTCATAGATAGTTGTGAGCAGTCATGTGCTAGGAATTGACTCCGGAAGAGCAGCCAGTACACTTAACTTGCTAAGCCATTTCCCATCCACAGTTTTTTGGGGGGTTGTTTTTTGTTTGTTTGTTTGTTTGTTTGAGACAGTCTTAAATATCCCAGGCTGGCCTCAAACTTTTGATGATGACCTTGAAGATGACGTTTGAAGATGACCTTGACTTTCTGATCCTCCTGTTTCCACTTCCCAAGTACTGGATTACAGGCCTGCACCACTATGCCCATTCTACATAGTACTAGTGATTCAATCTAGAGTTCTGTGTATGTTAGGTAACTACTTTAACCAGATGAGTCCAAAGTTACTTTTATTTTGGTTAAGGGAACAAAAGCCATAGAAAGGCTGTGGAAAACAACTAGGTTATAAACGTTAAGGAGAGTCAGAAGGCAGAGGCAGGCACAATTAGCTGAGGAATTCTGTGCTACACAGGTGTAGAAAGGCCTATAAATACAATAGGAAATTGGCACTATGGTTCAAGGTGGCAGAGGTAATCAAAGCCTTGGGTCAACATCAGATCTGATCTGTCATGTGTCCTGGTTATGTGATTCACCTGAAAAGCCTAAAGCAGAACACATGTGGCCTGTCCAGAACTAACTCAGAAAGGATGGGCAGCTAACAACTCAGAGCAAAAACCCATGATATTCTTGGGACTAATATCTCTCTCTCTCTCTCTCTCTTTCTCTCTCTCTCTCTCTCTCTCTCTCTCTCTCTCTCTCTCTCTCTCTCTCCTATAAATGTGGAATTACTTCCAGAGAAAAAGCTAAAAATTAAGTTAGGCGGTGGTGGTGCACACCTTTAATCCCAGCACTCAGGAGAGACAGGCGGATCTCTGTGAGTTGAGGCCAGTCTACTCTATAGAGTGAGCTCCAGGACAGCCAGGACTGTTACAGAGAAACCCTGTCTCAAAAAAAAAATAAATAAATAAATAAAAAAAATATATATATATATAAATGAGGTACGACTACTAGTATTCATATGGATTGATGCCCAGAGCGGCAGCAAAATCTGGCCCAGTTCATATGTCCATCAAAGTTTCTGAGGAGGCATGCCCCAGCCTCTACCAAGTGTGCAGGTATGCTGCAGTGAGGGGCTGTGCTGAGAATAGTGGACTACAGAGACAGAAAGAAGTAAGAGCAAGCACGGGTGAGGCCCTGAGAGAAGGAAGGCGCGTGAAAGCGGGCAGCCCCACAGACGTGAGTGGGAGAACTACCAGGGGTATGCCAAGAGCCCTGGAGTCATGCTACCTTTTCTGTGAAGGGCTGTTCCTTCCCACTTTCCCAGGGACTAGACACTGCCTCCTTACCTGGTGCTTGATCCTGGAATCCTGGGCTCCTGCTCATCGACATGATGGCTTCTGCATTCATAATCCTGTGTCTGTGACATTGCCATCTGCTTCCTTAGTGTTGAGGTGAATAGTTGTCAGAGGACCATCAGGTTGCCTCTTCCAGTATCAGACAGGAAGAGGCCACACTAGGGAGAAAAGAAGTGGCTAAGCACTGATGGAAAATTTGGGTATCAGGTGATGGCCCACACCACAAACATGGACTTACAGAAGGCAGCTGGCTCAAATGGAAAGCAATCCCCAAGCTTCAAACCTCCCAGGGAAGTGCTCTTAGTACCCAGTCATCTTCTCTTATAACAGAGGGAGGACCTGCTGGTTAACTCCAATTGCTGAGATTCTACTTGGGCCAGGGTAGGAGCACATGAACCTGAAGAACTGCAAAGCTAGAGGATGCATTGGACTCGCTTGCGTATGACATCTGGACCCCAAGCTCTGGATGCTACCACATAAGGGGATGTTGTGGAGATGAAGTTGAGTACAAAACACAGGCTATGTATGCCCCATGCAGAGTGGAGCCTCAGGCATGTAAGACACACATAGATTTCCCATGACAGTGAACAGGCTCTCTCATAGACATACTGAGCTTACTAGAGACACTTGGAAAGGGACCCTTGACCCTATGTTCAAGATATAAAGCAGTCCATGCTGTAAATGCGAATGCTGAAAAAATGAGCTTTTAGGAAAAACCAGAGAAAACTAGACATGGTGGCCCATGCCTTAATCCTAGCACTCAGGAGACAGAGACAAGCAGATCTCTGTGAGAGGACACCCTGGTCTACAAAGTGAGTTTCAGGCCAGCCAGGGCTACAAAGTGAGATCCTAACCAAGATGGGGGGGGGGGGCTAGTTCAAAATGAGAAGCATTTGCTACAAAGAACATGTACACTATGGCATATCTCATCTGAAAACAGGCACACTAAACATATACAAAAATCCTACAGATAAAGAGATAGCGGAGCATAGATGACACAGCAGAAAGTAGACAGCAATTATGGAAATGGCTCAGTTTCATTCTTGAGAGAAGTGCTCATTAAGGCATAATATGATATAAGCACCCAGCAAACTCACTAAACAGGAAAGGTAAGAACTGCTAAGTGCCGGCAAGGTGACGGAAAAGAGCACTTAGGTTCTACTGCTAGGTCTGAAGGGGTTACCCACTCCAGAAGGTGGTTCAACAGTATTCTCTCAAGGAGAGCACATGCATCTACCTAAGCCAAGGCTTCCTTACAATGGAGGCTACAACTATTCACAGAGGCCACTGTGACAATGCTAGCAGCCCTGTGCCAACAGACACGAAGGGATACTCCAAGTGCACACCAATTCTCCCACAGTGAGCATGAACACATGTACACACTAGGATTTCCTTCCAAAGTTCAGAAACAGTTGCTGCTATTAGAATTGGAACCAACAGGTTCTGGACCAGATAGTGCCAGGACAGGACCAGGCATAGCATGCTGTCTCCAGTCAAGGCAATGCTTCCTCTTTTCTCTACACATGCCCCAGCACACCAAAGCCTACAGCCATGAGACAGAGTATCCCTGGGGCTTTGTCTTCATACTCTCCACCAAGTCCCAGAAGAACTCAGATAGCCAGAGCAGTCCTAAGCAAAAGCACACTGCTGGAGAGCACCACACCTGATTTCAAGCTGTAATGAAGAGCTATAGTGATAAACCAGCATGGGGCTAACAGAAAACCAGACACTCACGGTGATCAATAGAATAAAATTAAGGACACATACACAAGGCCATGCAACTACAGCCATCAATTTTACAGATAGGAGAAAAGAATATCTTCAACAAATAGTGCTGGGAAAACTAGACACACGTAGAAGAATGATACCAGGTCTTTCTTTTACTTTGCACAAAAATCAACTCTAAGTGGATTAAAGATATCAACATAACACCTGAAACTCTGAAACTGCTAGAGAAAAAAGTAGGAAAACAAGATGTGAACAGGTAAGAACTTTCTAAATAGAAGAAATGCAAACTTTTTTTAAAAATATTTATTTTTATTAAATTTTATGTGTGTGTGCATGTGTATATGCATGTGACTATGTGTATGTGTGAAGGTACCTGTGGAGGGCAGAGGTGTTGTATCTCCTGGAGAAGGAATTACAGATAGTTGTACGCCACCTGACATGGGTGTTGGAAACTAAACTCAAGCCTTCTGGAAAATGAACAAATTCTCTTAAGAGCTAAGCCATCTCTACAGCCCCAGAAATACAAGTTGTTGGTAAACAGCTATTTACAGGTGTTCAATATCCTTATCCATCAGGGAAATGCAAATTAATGATATTTTGAGATTCTATCTGATCTTAGAGTGACTGTCATAAGAAAACAACAGACAAAAAATGCTGGTGAGAGGTGAGTAAAGAGGGATGCTCATCCACAGTTGGTGAGAATTTGAATCACTGTAGCCACTTTGAACATTGTGGAGGCTTCTCAGAAAGCTAAAAGTAGAACTAACATACTTCCCAGTTACATCATACCTAAGCATAGACCCAAAGGGCTCTATATCCTACCACCTGCAAGTTCAAGGTCACTGTGGCTCTAATCACAATCTAGAAAATGGAACCAGCCTAAACGCTTGCCGGGTAACCAATGACTGGACCATGAAAATGTGGTACACTGTGGAATACAATGCCGTTTACTCAGTTGTAAAGAAATATGAAAATATGAAGTTTGTAGAAGAAAGGGGAGAATAAAAATATACTGAGTTACGTAGCCCAGGCTCAGAAAGGCATATGCATATGTTCTCCTCATACAAAAATCCCAGCTTTGAATTTTGGATTTGTATGTTTAATTTGGAGTGTCTGTAGAGGTCAAGAAGCCAGAAAGACCCCATGAGATGGGGAGAAGAAGCCTGGGGTGAGGGACATAAAACACACATGATATCAGAGTAGGTGGGAGAAATACAGGAGACAGAAAGGCCTAAGCATGAATGTAGGCAAGGGAATAGGGAATAGGAGAGGGTTCAGGGGGAAGGCTAACCAAAACTAAGGACATATGAAAAGGCCTTATGGTAATCTACTACCTTGTAAGCTAATTTAAAATATATAATTTTTAAAAAGGGAGTTTGAATGGAGACACCTGCATGAATGAATAATGTTGTCCCAGAAGCCATGGGTTATTGAATGAAAATCCCAGTGCTCCTAGAGTAAGAAGAGAGACAAAGACAGGAAATCTTGAGAGGCTCAAGGGCCAACTGGCCTGGCATATGCAATGAACAACAGACAGACCTTTTCAAACACATGAAAGGCAAGTACTAACACTTCATGCTTCCATTGACCCCACTGAGGCATGCATACATATACATGGTGTTCTGTATAATCTCAGCATGTTGGAGACAGAAGGAAGATGCTTAGGAGCTCCAGGTAAACCTAGGCTACAAAGAAAGATCCTTTCTTTTCTTTTCTTTTAAGTCAGCTGTTGGTTCCTTATCAGTCCCATGTACTAGGTTGAGGTCATTCCCTTGTATATTGGTACTTTTTGAATCAGGAAATAATTGTGAATTTTGTAAAATATTTTTGTTTACTGATATGATTATTTCTGGATAACAATTGATCCCAGCAATTTATGCACATCTAGGTGAGTGTAAAGGTCAGAAAAGAGCATTTGGTGTCTTCATTATCCTATTCATATTCACCTATTCCTGAGACAGGCTCCATTTTCTCTGCTAGTCAGGAAGGCAGCAAGCCCCCCCCCCCCCGCTATGCTCTTGTCTTTATGCACTTCTAAGCTGGGGTTGCAGAGGGTGTGTGTGGTGGGGGATGCCTGGCTTGCTATGTGGGTACTAACTGGGACCTGAACTCTGGGTCTCACATTGCACAAGTGCTCTTAACCATTGAGCCATCCCTCCAGTATTACACTAAACATATCATTCTTTGTATAAACTAAAGTAGTTATGATGTATGTTCTTTAATTTTATATATTCTTGAACTCATTTGCCTAAATTTTTGTTAAGAATTTCACATCTATGTATACGCAGGTCAATGGCCCATGTATAAAGTCTTCTTGTAATTTCTGTTTGGCTTGTTTTGTAACAATTTTCTCCTAGATAAACCTCCATCTTGGAGGAAAGTTGGTTAAGACACAGGATGTTCTAAAGGGAGGTGAACCATTCCATCTTGCAGGGAAGTTCCTTAAACTCAGAGAGTATACTACTCAGAGGCTTCAGAAAGTCCCTAAAACTGACCAGATACACTAGGCCCCTCCCTCAGCAAGTGTATATAAACAGTAAGGACCAGTGAGAATGGTCCTCAGACCAATTAAGCCACCTGAAAGAAACAGACACAAGTTGCCCAGGTTCAGACTTGTGTAGGCATGCTACTGGCATAATGAACTGGGAGGAATTGCCTCTTGCCAGTTTTCGTGGAGAATATGTACAAAAGTGCTATCATCTTTCCTCAGTAGAATGTGCACTGAAGGCACTTGGGTATGTCTTCTTTGTGGGAGGCTTTCGGTTACAGAGTGAACTTATTTAATACAGAACTATAATGTACATTATATTGACAAACTGTCATGTGTTATTTGAGCTCACTAATAAGCTGGCTCTGTTAGTGGGGTTGTCTCCCACTCATCTCAAACAAAGCATTCTGTCTCAAAGTATACTCTTAAGGCCACCTAGTCAGGATGGGCTGACCCCTCCTAAGTCTGGGATAGGAAGAAAATTACAAAACAGCTAAGGAGTAAAAACAGTGTATCCTTGCCGGGCGGTGGTGGTGCACGCCTTTAATCCCAGCACTCGGGAGGCAGAGGCAGGCGGATCTCTGTGAGTTCGAGGCCAGCCTGGTCTACAAGAGCTAGTTCCAGGACAGGAACCAAAAAGCTACGGAGAAACCATGTCTCGAAAAATCAAAAAAAAAAAAAAAAGTGTATCCTTAAAAGCCCTAAAGCTAGGCATGGTGACATATGCATTTGCACTCTGCACCCGTGAGGCAGAAGCACACAGATCTCCAAGAGTTCAAGGGCAACCAGCATTTCTCATCCCCACACCTGGGTCACCCTGAAGTATCCCTGTAGCCGCAGTCTGGAATGGGGACCAAGCCTGTCATCCCAGCACTAGGGAGATGGAGGCAGGAAGATCAGGAGTTTAAGGTTATACTTGACTACATAGCAAACCTTGGGGCC